AAAACTAATCCCTTCTCTCTTACCAGTATCAGAGAAGCATCAAGGCAAGCGCGGGAACCCGTAAAGCATACGCTTTTATCTAAATTAAACAGTACCGGCGCGATTTTCATTTCCTGACTGGCTGCTCGCGGAGAGTAGGGCGGCTGTGGCGATCTTATCTCCGGGATAGGAGCGCGCGCACGCGGTTTTTGGTGATCTGCCCGTAAACATGGCAGCTACCTTAACCACCTAGCATGTTCGCTATTTTTTTCATTTTTATATTGTATCTGTTGATTTGTCTAAAATTATACTTACAAACAAAACTTTAAAATTGTTATGGATGAATTGAAAAGCGATAGCTGAAAGTTAAAATGTTGTAAATTATTTTGAGAAATTAATAAACAAAGAAAATCAAATTATTAGGCACAACTGATTGTTTGATTTCTTTATAAAGTAAAAACGAAGTTGTTGCCCTACCTATTATCTATAACTTGAAACCTCACAAACTACTACGTGATTAAATTTGAATGTTAACGTAATCGAATAATTATTTATTAATTAATATCGATGATTGTTGTCTATTTAATATAGTAAAATAATTTTATGTATGTAATGTATTTAAGAATTTTTAACTGACCTTGTAATAGTTTTGATTTGATTCGTGCATCAAACAGCATATTACTTGTATAAAGAGGAAATAAAAGTTTGAAGGGTGCTTGATTAAACAGCTAGAGAAACGTCAAGCTTGGGAATTCTATGTTTTTTATAATTTCATAAATCATAAGCAGGCATGTATCACGCCTTTATTACCAGGCAAAATGCATGTATATCTTTAATAAGTGGCTTAATTCAATGGCTCAATCCCCTTGATTTTGTAGTTGTACTATTTGGATGTTTATAATGATTTGCAAAAAGAGAAAGTGATTTAGCAGGTATAGGAAACCCGGAGTCTCGGAGATATTATAGTCAAGTTTGGGACGGCCCGACGTAAGCCATTAAAATTTGGCAAGACGCATCTTATCTTTCTCATCAAAACTGTCAGTAATCCTAAACAGACCTGTGCCCTGTCTCGACGCTCTCTAGGTCGGATTCTCGATGCCAAGAGGCAGATAAGATGGCGCGTGTCGCGGAAGGTTCATTGCATTCGACAATGGCAGTAACTGGGTTTCGGAACATTTTTCGGTCGTGCGTATTTTTAGGCGGCAGAGGGAAAGCAGTTCACTATATACAGGCTATTAACGTGCGATTACGTTTGACAGCATGAGTTGGCGTACTGTCAGGCAAGCCTGTCGAAGTGAAGAAGCTAATTGAGGAAAAACGATACGTATAGCTTGGCTGCGTTAGTCCTCTTATTTATGCTACCGTTTGAGTTTTTTTCCTTCGTTTGAGACGTTTCAGACGTCGTGTTTTCTCGAAGACTTAACGAGTTGAAAGCTGATTCGCCAGTTGATTCTTGAGGGTCGACTGACAATTGGAAATCTTTAGAGTGTAATGGTTGAGTAAATAAATATGTCGTCTGACTTTGAAAAGATAATTGTTGAAGTTTTATCCATACTTTGATTAAAATGATCTCAGTAGGAAAATCAAACAAGTTTTTTATTAAACCGAATCGAAGTATACAAATGCCACTGTAAAAATGAGATCTCAAGATTATATCTAATTTACATAATTCAGTTCTCTCTCGACGAATAAAACTCGCGCTCATTCTTAAAAACTTGAAGAAAAAGAGAGCATCTTCAACTCGCGCCCAAACAACAATTCCAAAAACACATGTCAAGTTATGAATAATGCAATGATCTTTCCCTTCCTCTCTCGCGTCATCGCTATAAAATCTCACCTCTCGTGCGCGAGTCGCGGGAAAAGCCTGCGTCAAACTTTGGCATTTACGAAATTAGAATCCAAGCGTACGCGGCTGAAACTCTCTCTCTGTTCTCCTTCGACCCGCGCGTGTAAAAGTAATTTGCCAAGTTGGTGTGCGTGCGAAAAGTCCACCGGCTGTCGCACGTTTCACCTCACTCTAATTCGACGTCAGCCGAGAAAGAGCGAGAGAGAGAGAGGGTAGAGAATCTCTCGATTGACGGCTCTCCTCTCTCGGCTTGATTATTATAAATTTTAAAATTACTATATTGCGGGACGTGTGCTTATCGTACAATATTCCGTTTATCTCTTTTGGATTTTATGAGTAGACAGCAATTCTGTCGTTGAAAGAATAACGACAGCGCGAAGAGGTTTATGATAAAGTTTGATAACTTAGTTTTATAGTGTAAAATTTTCTGATGTTCGTTATGAAGGTTTTTCATTATTTCAAATTTCCATAGACATAAGAACGTATGTTTTTCAATACTGAAATTTCCGTTCTATATATATGAATGATTTCAATGATGTTATATTCGAATGATATTACCAAATCGTAGGACGTGACTGCACTTATCTCATCAAAACCGTACTTACATTACGTACCACGTGCAAGGGCTCGTGATCGACAACATATCAGTCTCGAAAAATGCGTCGTAGTAGCCATCTCTCGTCTAAGATAAAAAGGATATTAGTGCACATTTCTTGAAATTTATTTATTTAACAATGAAATAAAGAAGAACCGGATCTGACAATATGTTTTCCACTTGGCGAAGCGTAGTTTTCAAACGTGCGAAGCGTATCTGATGCTCCTAGTATTCGTAAATAAAGAAAGGATATACAAAGTGAAGCTGTTAGAGAAAGTCAAATTTGTGTCCGTCGAACAAAGACGGAAAAGAAAGTTTCAACCGAAACAATAAAATTTCATTATTACTAATTATTATTAACTACTTATAGTCATAATTCAGAGTAACTTTAGTAAACCTTTATTTGACACGCAAACACGAAAACACAATTCTACAATGCTCAAACCATTAGTACTTATTTTTTAATTTAATTTCTTAAGTAACTTTAATTTTCGTAGAAATAAATAAAACGCATTACATGAACGTAAAAAGTAACACGAGAAATTGATATACGATTAATATTCTCCAATGAATTAAAAATTCAAACATCTGATATCAAAGTTGTAGTTTCCAAGGTATAGGCTAGTGTCGAAGATTCAATAGCGAATGTGTCAAGATTGAAAAATCACCTTCCGTCAAGTAAAGTACCGGCAGCGTGCGTTTCGTCTCTCTTTCGCTCTCAGGTTTCTTTTCGGCATAAAAGAGAGAGACGACCGTTCGCTCCTTTAATATGAGGGCTCTAAAACAAATGGTTATGTTTTTATAAAGACAATAAAGTTCGTCCATCTATCACGCCACCGTACGTAATATCGCCTCATACGTGGCCTTCTGCCTATCGGACGTTATATTGGAATTTTATTTTTCTCTCTCTCTCTCTCTCTCTCTTTCTCTTTCTCTTGCTCTTCCTGTCTTTTTTCACCCTAACTACCCACTTATATTTTATATATATATATTATTTATAATTTCCTCGTCAAATATGTTAGTACGTATACTTTACGTGTTAAAAGAACTCAAAAATGAAAAAAGTCAAAAATAAGCAGTAATATTTTGTAGGCAAATTACTTACGTAAAACATTAAAATTTTTTTTCTATATATACAATCTACTAGATTTTTGAAGCATGAGTATGTAGAGCAACAACTGATGTCTAGTTGGAAGTTTTAATTGTAGCTCGCTTCCAAAGATAAAAGGGAATAGTCTTTAATTTTTTGTTGCATTAAAATCATAAATCTTTTTGTACAAAGGTAAAATAAAGATCTTATATTGACAGAGAACATCAGTTCAACTTTTCCATCTAATGAAACACGTATTTTATACCTAATTTTTCATATAATTGTCTTATCTTGTTGAACAATTGCTGTAAAATGTTTACTCTTTAAGGGTCAAATAGCATTTAATTACAGCGAAAATTCATAAAATAAAACTTCACTAAAAATGTAAGCTTTGTATATGAAAAAGTATGCTGCATAACAGAAGATGCATAGGGTAACTGAGTGGTATATCGAGGCCAAGTCGAGCACAAGAGTCGATGAGGACACATACACACTCACACCCTACCTGAATCGCGCCAGCTAATAAATCATCTTCTAGCACGTGATGCAGCATCCCCTCTTGTACTTTAGCCTGGTTTAAATGGATGAGCTAAGCATTTGTATACTGAAGTTATGCAATCGGTTAGCGATCACCTGGAGTTTCTTATACTTGTTCTTAGCCACGATCGACTTCCTATTACATACTATTAAGCGATTTTTCACTCTATGCGCACTTTTCAAAAAATATAAAGCAGGCATGCGAAAGTAGGAACATTTGTCACCTTGCCAAACCTTTTATAATTTTTAATAGTCTTTGATAGATATATATGAATAATTTTTTAAGTTGTGCTCCAGGATTATTTAATATACGAATAACAGATATACCCGGATATAATCTCTTATCATTCATTAAAATGGTCTAGTTATATTAATTATTATTATTTAATGATTAACTAACAATTAATTTATATCTAATTCAAACTGGCATGAATAACGAGTTAGAAAATCATGTTATGCTTACATTAATTAAATATTAAGATATTTAGGAAAGTGCACATACAAGCACATTCTACATATTGCAGAACTTCAAAAATAAATTATTAATAGTAATTCGAAAAAAAGTTTAAATAGACATCAAGAGTGGCATAGGGAGATTTCTCAACAAAAAAAAATAAATCAAAATGTGTGATTTTTATTAAACTTTAATATAGCATAAGTAAAATTACATATTATTACAAATTCGTCAATTATTTGACTACAAATATTATCTTTATTCGCTCATGAATACATACACATACACACAAAATCACGCCCACACAAACACGCACACACACACAAGCGCGTGCGTATATATAAAAAACTACATATATATAAAAAAGTACATATATAAAAAATTTACAACTTTAGCGCTACAAAAATATACAACAGGGAGTGAACTATTCCACGATGAAATTTACAATAGAAAAACTTACACAAATGTCTAGATTAAATTTGAAAATTTGCAGAAGAATCTAAGCTAGCGAATATAAACACTCTTCCATTTGCGGCGTCGGAGTAACTAAATCAAGTTCACGCTTTTGTTCTTCCGATGCTTTCGTCGTGATGTCGTAAATCTCCGCTAAATAGGTCGCAAATTCGTCGAAATAATCCTGAAATGAAACTGTATTAGGTGAGTTATTGGTTGAGTAACTAGATTGAGAAGTTGGTGGCGATGGGGTAATGGAGAAGTCTTGTTGCTGCCAATTCAAAGTTGGTTGATTGTTACGCATAACAACCTGCTGATTCTGTTGAGTGCTCAGAACAAAATTATTATTCAAAACATCATCAAACGTTTGACGCCATTCTTCAGTCTCTCCATTCAATAACGTGTCTAAAGCTTGGGCGCTACTTGAAGAAATGTTTATAGAATAATTTGGCTGCTGTTGTGAGACGTCCCCGACGTTGCATCCTGCTGAAGCACTCATATTGGTAGATAGTGGTTGAAGTGGCTGAGGTGGCTGAAGTGGCTGAAGTGGCTGAGGTGGCTGAGGTGGCTGAGGTAGCTGAAGTGGTTTAGGTGGCTGAGGAGGCTGATGTAGCTGAGGTGGTTGAGGTGGCTGAAGTAGATGAAGTAGCTGAGGTGGCTGAGGTGGCTGAAGTGGCTGAGGTGGCTGAAGTGGCTGAGGTGGCTGAGGTGGCTGAGGTGGCTGAGGTGGTTGAAGTGGCTGAAGTAGCTGAGATGGCTGAGATGGCTGTGGCAACAAATCGGGAATTCCTTGGGCGTTGGAATCGGATTTAGATTGAGTCTGCAATGTCTTCTTTAGTTTCATGCGACGATTTTGAAACCATATTTTCACTTGGCGCTCCGTCAAATTCAACGCGGTTGCCAATTGGCTGCGCTGCCTTCGATCCAAATATCGCCTCTGGGCGAACTCACGTTCGAGTTCGAGTAGCTGGTTCGTGTCGAAGGCCGTCCTGTTTCTCTTCACACGAGGAGCTGTAAAGATAAAACATATTTATTAATATTTATTATATACTCATCTAGTCTAAGGCAAATAAAGAAAACCGTCCATTTTTATTTGTTCAAAAATTCAGAAACTACGAGTGGTTCAAACATCCATATATATTGAAAAATAAAAAATTTAAAAATATTAGAAATAAATACACACCTTTAGAACCAGATTGAGCAGGCTTAGTAGGAGCTCGAAGAGGCGCGGCTGGAATAACGTTTGGTTGTTGGCTGGGCATTTCGGCATAAGGTATTGACCATGACAATGATAGTGGAGATTCTGCACGTTGGGGAACCATCGACGGCAATGTGTTCACCGGTTGCTCGGAAACGTAATTTCCCGCTGGCCTTACGTGTCCGTCTAGCGTCCCACAAGCTATAAAAAAAAATAAAATTATTGGATTAGTTAATGAAATTTTAATCGCAAAAGCGTTTCACTTATATTTTGATTTTCAAATGTAAGATATAACTTTTTTTTAATAACTTTAACTGTAAAAGTACCTTTTGCTTTCGATGGCATGTTATCCATAACGTGAGGTGCCAAGTTGAGCTCTTTGTAGCCTTCCACAAACTTCTTGGTTGTATCCGTTGTTGCTGGATGTTGTGAACGAACATTCTCGTCTTTTTCACGTGATATTCCAAACTCCTCATAAGAATCCGGTGAAGCCTTCAATACCATTTCTTCTAACCATGCCGGACCTTGCTCGTTCTCCCCACTCCCGTTACTCATCGTGGATGAACATGAGTCGATTAGTTGTTCGGTCGACAAACTATCAAAGATATCAAAAAAATCCATATCCACTGTAGAAACATAATTGTCTTGAATGTTGATCATTTTGACTTGGCTCCAACTGGAAACACGACTGTTAACTGACGACTTTCGTTTCACAACTGAAATAGCTTCGTTGAGGCCCCTGCCAATTTATACCCTCGAGCCAGATAACGACCTTGCCCTTTCTACTACTTACAAGTCTTGAGCTTTTCCCTCACCTCTTACTTTTCCTTCTCCTTTCCATACCTGTACTTAAATATACCTGGTCCTTGTTTTCCCTCTCCAGCCTGGTTTACATCTCCCCTCTTTTGTAATGATACGGACTTGCAGATGCCTGACTGATAGATTGCAGAGTATCGAGGTTTGCGACAAAGTTTGCAAATTCTTGTTCTTAATGTCGGACTGCCAATTATTGTTTTATATCTTCCGGATCGAGATTTTTTTATTTCAATTAACGATTTATTTCTTATTTAAATGCCTATTTTTACTTTCTGCAGTTTTAATAATAAGTGATTATAACAGATTTTTCGATATTCCGTGCGCAAAGTTTGTCTTTCCCGCACGCTCGGTAGAAAATGTGCGTTGAAAAAGATTTTTTCGCACGTATTGCAGCATACCGTCTAACTATAGTGGGCTCTAACTCGGGGAGGGCCCAGCGTTCTTATATTTAAATACTTGTTCTTAGCCACGATCGACTTCCTATAACATACTATTAAGCGATTTTTCACTCTATGCGCACTTTTCAAAAAATATAAAGCAAGCAAGCGAAAGTAGGAACATTTGTCACCTTGCCAAACCCTTTATAATTTTTAATAGTCTTTGATAGATATATATGAATAATTTTTTAAGTTGTACTCTAGGATTATTTAATATACGAATAACAGATATACCCGGATATAATCTTTTATCATTCTTTAAAATGGTCTAGTTATATTAATTATTATTATTTAATTATTAACTAACAGTTAATTTATATCTACTTCAAACTGGCATGAATAACGAGTTAGAAAATCATGTTATGCTTACATTAATTAAATATTAAGATATTTAGGAAAGTGCACATACAAGCACATTCTACATATTGCAGAACTTCAAAAATAAATTATTAATAGTAATTTGAAAAAAAGTTTAAATAGACATCAAGAGTGGCATAGGGAGATTTCTCAACAAAAATAATAAATCAAAATGTGTGATTTTTATTAAACTTTAATATAGCATATGTAAAATTACATATTATTACAAATTCGTCAATTATTTTACTACAAATATTATCTGTATTCGCTCATGAATACACACACACACACACACACACACACACACACACACACACACACACACACAAAAGCACGCCCACACAAACACGCATACACACACAAGCGCGTGCGTATATATAAAAAAATACATATATATAAAAAAGTACATATATAAAAAATTTACAACTTTACCGCTACAAAAATATACAACAGCGAATGAATTATTCCACGACGAAATTTACAATAGAAAAACTTACACGAATGTCTAGATTAAATTTAAAAATTTGCAGAAGAATCTAAGCTACCGAATATGAACACTCTTCCATTTGCGGCGTCGTAGTAACCAAATCAAGTTCACGCTGTTGTTCTTCCGATTCTTTCGTCATGCTGTCATAAATATCCGCTAAAGCGGTCACAAATTCGTCGAAATATTCCTGAAGTGAAACTGTATTAGATGAGTTATTGGTTGAGTAACTAGATTGAGAAGTTGGTGGCGATGGGGTAATGGAGAAGTCTTGTTGCTGCCAATTCAAAGTTGGTTGATTGTCACACATAACAACCTGCTGATTCTGTTGAGTGCTCAGAACAAAATCACTATTCAAAATATCATCAAGCGTTTGACGCCATTCTTCAGTCTCCCCATTCAATAACTTGTCTAAAGCTTGGTCGCTACTTGAAGAAATGCTTATAGAATCATTTGGCTGCTGTTGTGAGACGTTCCCGACGTTGCATCCTGATGAAGCACTCATATTGGTAGATAGTGGTTGAAGTGGCTGAGGTGGCTGAGGTGGTTGAAGTGGCTGAGGTGGCTGAGGTGGCTGAGGTGGCTGAGGTGGCTGAGGTAGCTGAAGTGGCTGAGGTAGCTGAAGCGATTGAGGTGGCTGAGGTGGTTGAGGTGGCTGAAGTAGATGAAGTAGCTGAGGTGGCTGAGGTGGCTGAAGTAGCTGAGGTGGCTGAAGTGGCTGAGGTGGCTGAGGTGGCTGAGGTGGCTGAGGTGGCTGAGGTGGCTGAGGTGGCTGAGGTAGCTGAAGTGGCTGAGGTAGCTGAAGTGGTTTAGGTGGCTGAGGTAGCTGAAGTAGCTGAAGTGACTGAGGTGGCTGAGGTAGCTGAAGTAGCTGAAGTAGCTGTGGTGGCTGAGATGGCTGACGTAGTTGAAGTGGCTGAAGTAGCTGAAGTGACTGAGGTGGCTGAAGTAGTCGAGGTGGCTGAGGTGGCTGAGGTGGCTGAGGTGGCTGAGGTAGCTGAAGTGGCTGCAGTAGCTGTGGTGGCTGAGATGGCTGAAGTAGTCGAGGTGGCTGAGGTGGCTGAGGTGGCTGAGGTAGCTGAAGTGGCTGCAGTAGCTGTGGTGGCTGAGATGGCTGAAGTAGTCGAGGTGGCTGAGGTGGCTGAGGTGGCTGAAGTAGCTGAGGTGGCTGAGGTGGCTGAGATGGCTGAAGTAGTCGAGGTGGCTGAGGTGGCTGACGTAGTTGAAGCGATTGAGGTGGCTGAGGTGGTTGAGGTGGCTGAAGTAGATGAAGTAGCTGAGGTGGCTGAGGTGGCTGAAGTGGCTGAGGTGGCTGAAGTGGCTGAAGTGGCTGAAGTAGCTGAGGTGGCTGAGGTGGCTGAGATAGCTGAAGTGGCTGAAGTAGCTGAGATGGCTGAGATGGCTGTGGCAACAAATCGGGAATTCCTTGGGCGTTGGAATCGGATTTAGATTGAGTCTGCAATGTCTTCTTTTGTTTCATGCGACGATTTTGAAACCATATTTTCACTTGGCGCTCCGTCAAATTCAACGTGGTTGCCAATTGGCTGCGCTGCCTTCGATCCAAGTATCGCCTCTGGACGAACTCACGTTCGAGTTCGAGTAGCTGGTTCGTGTCGAAGGTCGTCCTGTTTCTCTTCACACGAGGAGCTGTAAAGATAAAACATATTTATTAATATTTATTATATACTCATCTAGTCTAAGGTAAATAAAGAAAACCGTCCATTTTTATTTGTTCAAAAATTCAGAAACTACGAGTGGTTCAAACATCCATATATATTGAAAAATTAAAAATTTAAAAATATTAGAATAAAATACACACCTTTAGAACCAGATTGAGCAGGCTTAGTAGGAGCTCGAAGAGGCGCGGCTGGAATAACGTTTGGTTGTTGGCTGGGCATTTCGGCATAAGATATTGACCATGACAATGATAGTGGAGATTCTGCACGTTGGGGAACCATCGATGGCAATGTGTTCGCCGGTTGCTCGGAAACGTAATTTCCCGCTGGCCTTACGTGTCTGTCTAGAGTCCCACAAACTATAAAAAAAAATAAAATTATTGGATTAGTTAATGAAATTTTAATCGCAAAAGCGTTTCACTTATATTTTGATTTTCAAATGTAAGATATAACTTTTTTAATAATTTTAACTGTAAAAGTACCTTTTGCTTTCGATGGCATGTTATCCATAACGTGAGGTGCCAAGTTGAGCTCCTTGTAGCCTTCCACAAACTTCTTGGTTGTATCCGTTGTTGCTGGATGTTCTGAACGAACATTCTCGTCTTTTTCACGTGATATTCCAAACTCCTCATAAGAATCCGGTGAAGTCTTCAATACCATTTCTTCTAACCGCGCCGGACCTTGCTCGTTCTCCCCACTCATGTTACTTATTAAGGATGTACATGTGTCGATTAGTTCTTCGAGCGTCAAACTATCAATGATATGAAAAAAATCCTTCTCCAACGTAGAAACATAATTGTCTTGGTTGATCATTTTGACTTGGCTCCAACTGGAAACACGACTGTTAACTGACGACGTTCGTTTCACAACTGAACTAGCTTCGTTAAGGCACCTGCCATTTTATACCCTCGAGTCAGATTCTTTTAACAACCTTACCCTTCTTAATACATATAGATCTTGAGCTTTTCCCTCACCTCTTACTTTGCCTGCTCCTTTTTATACCTGTACTTAAATATACCTGGTCCTTGTTTTCCCTCTCCATCCTGGTTTACATCTCCCCTCTTTTGTAGTGATACGGACTTGCAGATGCCTGACTGATAGATTGTAGGGTATCGAGGTTTGCGACAAAGTTTGCAAATTCTTGTTCTTAATGTCGGACTGCCAATTGTTTTATATCTTCCGGATCGAGATTTTTTTATTTTAATTAACGATTTATTTCTTATTTAAATGCCTATTTTTACTTTCTGTAGTTTTAATAATAAGTGATTATAACAGATTTTTCGATATTCCGTGCGCAAAGTGTCTTTCCCGCACGCTCGGTAGAAAATGTGCATTGAAATAGTACACTACGATACAAGTACGGGAAAGTAGATTTTTGTCTCGTGTGGCGTTTACACCCGAGCGAGGTAAGGGTGGAAAGGTACACGAGACGAGAAACACCTTCCCGAACATGTGCCGTATCGTATTTTTTGATACGACGTGTGGAAAGTGCGATTTTCAACGCACGTTTTTTGCCGAGCGTGCGGGTAAACGCACTTTCCGCACGGAGTGTCGAAAAATAATAACTTCAACTGTATTTTACCTCTTTTAAAACACGTGCCTGGGTAGTAAAGTATGATTTTATTCAGTGTATGTAGATCATAAAATTTCATGGTACGAAATATTGAACGTTTGTCGCCTCGTCAAAACTTGTATAATAGTCTTTAATAAACTATATCCATCGATATTCATAATGAATAAAAATAGAATTACACCAATGTATTCAGGGAAACCGAAGACTATTTTTTATATCTGAACTTTTAATGAACATAAATTAGACTATATTTTTTATATGAATTACATGAGTTCACTGATATAATGGATACACCTCCTTTCCTTTATAATGAAATAATTTTACGTATTTTAACCGACAAATCACACCTTCGGTGCTTGTTGCCGGTTCTCGTGCGGAATAGTATATTTTCTCGAGGATGCGCGGACTTTTACGAAACGAGATATTAACGGCACGAGATGGAGGCGAATATACAGATATTTAGAATGCAAAAAAATACTGTCTCTAACTGGTGCGAAAAGATTTTTGAAGAAACTGCCTTCAACTCGTATCGGAATCTCATTTCTTCGAAAATAACTTTACTCATTCGTTAGAAATTTACTATTCCCAATAATTAAATATTAAAAAAAATTATACGTTTAAGATTCTACTTATTATTCAGAAATTAAATGTATTATTAAGTGATGTTGAATATTTTGTGCCAAATAATCGTAAGTCGGCTTTTCTGCAGAACCAACATTGGTAATATTTCATTTTTAGACAATGTCTTGTGTTTAGTTGAAAAGCGTTATGTTAAGTAAACAAAATTTAACATTTGAATGTTTTCTTAATTTAACAAAAAGCATAAAATCGTTCTTATTATAGAAAAGCGAATGAAATAAAGAGATACTAAAGACATAAATGATGTTAGAGGAGTCGACGCTAAAATATGAAAATTCTAGAAACCATAGAATTATCATACAAATTTATCAACAAAGGAAATATATTAGGAACATCATAAATCATTGTCAGTTATAATTTTACAACTGGGAAGTAGCGACGACTTAAAATTGTATTCTGACCTGTATTTATCTCTGTATTGTGTTGTGACCTGTATTCTGTATTGTAGTTATAAATCAATTAAAAAGCGGGTTTAAAGGATACTCAAACATTTTTCATGCTATTTTATAAGTACCAACTTAATCCCTAACTTTGGATATAGCTGACTGATCATTTTTGAAAATATTACCTGCGTTTGAAAAGCTTACCTGCGTTTGAAAAGATTACTCATTATCGCCACTTTAAATGTCAGTCTATTCCTTCTCGGCCCCCTAGCCTTTCCTATATATTGTGTATACTTGTTTTTCATGAGGAAAAATATCGAAATACACACACACACACAGATGCACGTTCATTCACGCACATATACACAGTAGAAACTTTATTAATGTTTTGAAAATTTTAAATGTCTAAAATTTGTAAAAATTGAGTTAACAATCTACATGTTATTTTGTAAGATAGAAAAGCGAATGAAATAAGTTTTTTTAAAACCTACGTGTTCCAGGATTAATTCATGGTATCTTTTGCAGAATTTTCAAAATAAACTATTAAAATTAAACAGTGAAAAGTCTTCAAATAATTATAAAGTAAATAGAGTAATAAGTAGCTTTCTTGACACACTAATTAATTAAGATGTATGATTTATTTAATTTCGAAACATCACGTAATAAGTTAATTAAATACAATAAATTTTTCGTCAAATATTTTACTAAATACATTATCTATTTGGTCATGCTAATATATTTTTACCATTAACAAATTTACCGCTGGCGTACGATTTATTGTTCACGATTAATTATACATCAAAAGTTAATGTGTATAGAAATATGATACAAATCAATAATTAGCTATGTTAATGTGAACAATTGTTTATGTATGTTAAAACGGACACAATTGTCCGCAAGCCTATACAATGCAATGTATAACTAACGCTATCCTTTGTCCGTGTTGAATTTACAATAGAAAAATTTACACAGATGTCCATGCTATATTCAAAAATACTAAAAAATGTCACTTAGTCTGCTTATATGTTATAGTTAAAAAAACAAAACTTTATGTTGCTGTTCAGGTACTATCGGAGTAGTGTTTTCAATGTTCCCGGTTAGATTAGGCGTTGATTCGTCGTAACTTACCTGATGTAAAACTGTAGCGGGTGTGTGATTGCATGAGTAAGTAGACTGAGCGGTTGTTGACGAAGTATTGGTGATTGATTGTTGCTGCCAATTTAAAGTTGATAGATTGGAAAATGGATAAAATTGCTGTTGCTGCCGAGTGTTCGTAAACAAATTATTATTAGAAATATTCTGAAGCGGCAGATGCCACTCTGGAGGCATCATATTCATTACTAGGTAGAATTGATCAGTGTTATTTATTGAACGGCATGTAGAGTAATTTGGTTGCTGTTGTGGAACATCGCTGATGTTGGATTGTAGCGAAGCGTTTGTATTTGTATATTGCGGCTGAGATGGATGTGGCAACAACTCGCGAATTCCTTGGGCGTTGGGAACGAACTTAGATTGAACCTCTACCAATTCCTTCTTTAGTTTCATGCGACGATTTTGGAACCATATTTTCACTTGGCGCTGCGTCAAATCCAACGAGGTTGCCAATCGACTGCGCTGCCTTCGATCCAAGTATCGGCAGATAGCGAACTCACGTTCGAGTTCCAGTAACTGTTTCATGCTGAAGGACGTTCTTTTTCTCTTCACACGAGGAGCTGTAAAGATGAAACATATTTCTTAATATTTATTATATACTCATCCAGCCCACGGCAAATGAAGAAAACCGTTTATTTTTATTTGTCAAAAATTTGAGAAACTGAGTGGGCAAATATCTGTATATATTGAAAAATAAACAATTCAAAAGTGTTACAATAAAATACACACCTGCAGAGTCAGATTGATCAGGCTTAGTAGGAGCTCGAAGAGGCGCGGCTAGAATAACGTTTGTTTGTTGGCTGGGCGGCTCTTGATAAGGAGCTAACAGTGGCAATGCTTGTTGGGGTACTGCATTTTCAGGAACCATCGGCGGTGACACGTTCGCCGGTTGTTCGAAAACGTAATTTCCCGCTGGCCTTACAATTCTGTCAACCGTCACACTAGCTATAGAAAGAATTTAAATTATAGGATTAGGGCATTGACTTTAATCGCCAAAGCGTTTCACTTATATTTTGATTTTCAAATGTAAAATATAAAAACCAAGCGCGCGCACACATACACATATACGCACGTACACACACGCGCGCACGCACGCACGCACGCACACACACACACACATCCTAAACCAGTAATTTTTACATTTAACTTTTTGCTTCGACAATGAATAACTGAAATATTTTTCTATATGCATTTATAGAGCTACAGACAAATTCGACTGGTGTTATTGAACAAGTGTTTTAATGTAAAGAAAAAGAAATTATTAAGGCAAATTTTTAAGTACCTTGCGCAGTCAATGGCTTGCTATCAATAATGCAAAGAGCATTGTTGCACTGCTCTTTATACTGTTGCACGTTGTCCACTTGCGAGATCTCGGTTCTATCCATGTTTTCAGGAGGCTGTAAACGATCTTGCGCATTTGACGGCTTGCTATCAAAAATGGAAAGAGCATTGTTGCACTGTTCCTTATACTGTTGCACGTTGTCCACTTGCGAGACCTCAGTTTTATCCATGTTTGCAGGAGGCTGTAAATGAACATTCTGAGTATTTTCACATGATATTCTCACCGATGGCTCTTCATAATAATCCGGTGAAGCCTTTGATGCCATTTCGTCTATCCACGCCAGATCTTGCTCGTTCTGCCCGTTCCCGTTACTCAATGTAGAGGAACATAAGTCGATTAGTTCTTCGCTCGACAAACTATCAAAGATATCTGCACAAGCAACATCTACGCTTGAAGAAATAAAATTGGTTTGCATGAGGATCATTCTGACATAGCTGTTTGTAGAAACACGACTGACGACTTACGTTTGTCAACTAAAATGGCGTCGTTGAGGTTCCTGCCAATTTATACCCTCGAGCCAAATCAGATAAAAACCTTGCTCTTTCCCTTTTCCCTCACCTCGTACTTTTCCTTCTACTTTCTATAGCTGCACTTACATAGATTTCTAACCAATAACGCAATTATTTGGTCATTAATGTCCATCCCAATCCTGGTTTAAATTTCCTCTCTTTTGTTATGATACGGACTCGTAGATGTCTAACTGATAGGTTATAGGATATCGAGATTTACGAAAAATTTGGACATTTCGTATGCAAAGTGGGTCTTTCTCGCATGCTCGACAGAAAACGTGTGTTGAAAATCGCACTTTCCGCATGTCTTGTAAAAAAATACGGCACGGCACATGTTCGGGAATAGTACATTACGATACAAGGGCGGGAAAGTAGATTCTTGTCTCGTGTGGCGTTTACACCCTAGCGAGGTGAGGGTCGAAATGTACACGAGACAAGAATCTACTTTCCCGCACTTGTATCGCAATGTACTATTACGTCCGAACATGTGCCGTACCGTATTTTTTTATACGACGTGTGGAAAGTGCGATTTTCAACACACGTTTTCTGCCTAGCGTGCGGGAAAAATGCACTTTGCGCACGGAGTATCGAAAAGTTGATTCTTATCTCGTATGGCGTTTACGCGCAAGCTAAGCGAGCCAAGCTAGTACGTCAGAATCTACTTTTCCGCACTTGTATCGTAATGTACTATTTCTTCATCTAATTCCTTTCATTTTTTCACTCTTTCAATCCAATTTTAAGATAACAATATTAATTTCAGTATTACAGATTATAAAATTATCGATTTCTAGTGTTCAAAACATAACTACTTATGATCGCTAAATAATTTATTACCGGCATATTTACGTTTTTGCAAATTGCTAGCCATATTAATTATTCATTAATAGAATTGACTGCTGAAATATAAATCTTATACTCTTAGATCTAAAGTACAAATATTTCAAATTATAAAAAACTTCGAAATTTCGCGATCGTTTTCAATTTTGACCAATCACAACACTGGATATCGACGATTCATAATTTTTTTTCAACAGGATACATGTCCGACAAGAACATTTAATCAACTTTCTTGGACAATTAGTTACAAATTTTTTATTGGACATTACTGTCGCTTGATTAGTTTCTATGCGACAATATGATTGATAACATTGACCGGCGTATTACAAGTGGACTGCTTGCGATATTCTTCTTCGAATAGGACTCGTGATATTTCCATAACATAAGAGGTTATTTCTAGCCATCAGGGCTATTTTAACGAAAAATCTTGTTCCTATTATTTCGTCATCTACACATGCACACGCGCGCGCGCATGAATACTGTAGAAGCTTTATTAAAGTTTGGAAAATTTCGAATATCCATTAGTTGTAAAACTTGACTTAATCTGAATATTATCTTGAAAGATAGAAGCGAATAAAATATTTTTTTTAAACGTTACGTGCCTTAGGATTATTTAATATACAAATAACAGATAGACGTAGGTATAATACTTGATTATAAAATTGGTTTAGTCATATCAACTATATTATCAGCAAAATTAAATTGTTAATTTTTATTAAATACAATCTGGCATAAATCATGAGTTCTAAAAAATGTTTAAATAATTATAGTGAGAATAGTGAGATAAGCAGTTTTTTAAACGTACAAAATTAATTAAAATTTATTTATCTCTATTCGCTCATAAAAATATATTTTTAATTTACAAATTTACCACTACAAAAATATACAATGGTAGGCGGACAAGTATCCACAATTTTATTATTCATCCCAAGTTAAGTGCCTAGAAATATCGTGTAAATAAAAAATTAGTTATATTATTATTGTGCACAATAGTTTGTGTGCATGATTAAGCAGGTAGAATTGTCAGCACACCTATACAATGCAATATGTACAGAAATCAATCCTAAATACATGTTAATTACATCGTTTCATCAACACATTTTATTTATTCAATGAATAAATTTAATTTATATGGTTATAAAATGTTTTGAGTGCCATGACTCAGTCAGCGGTAGTATGGCAAGTATAAGACCGAGGAAGCAAATGAAACGAGCCTTATACTACCGAGCTTATACTATCCCGCAGTACAAGCATCTTCCCCTAAGTTGGTTACTACTAGCTTAGCGTACTAGCTTGGCTCGCCTAAAACACATAAATAACTGGTATGTATGTGCATTGGAATTATCCCCTTGTAAAAATGTGGTGGTAATCATGTCGGCAAATTTTATTTGTAATCTGATTAGCCTAAATAAAAAAAAAAGCGTGAATATTAAAATTGATTTTAGTTGTTTTTTTATTTCAATTTAATTTAATTTGTTTTTAGCAATAAAATAAAACATAAAAAATATAATTTTTAAGTCATCATTTATAATCATAATGTAATTCATCATTTATCAATTTTATCCCTTTATAAAAAAGTGATGGACGCCATGTTGAAGCATGTTATTCGTCATCTGACTGTCTGATATAATACTCGTATTGTACATGTGCTTTCGAGTTGAGATTTTAGTAATAAATTTTAATTTATCATAATTTATACGAATAATTTTGAAGATAACAAAAGTAAAACAGTAAACTGCAGTTTTATTGTTTTTACATTCATTTTATGAAACTAGCAGCGAATAAACCGTTCATAAAAACCAGAAATTAAAATTGTTTTGAATTATTTCTATCACTAATCGATCATTTGGTTTTTGAAAGTGTAAGATTGAAATAAAGGTTGTAATAGCGCAATCTTTATTAAAAAAGTAGGATACATGTTTAGTAATAATTTTATCTGTTGAAAAAAAGGAATAGATTATTACAGTTATTGTTTTATGGTAGTTTTCGATGTGAAAAATCATGAATGGAAAGATATGTTACATCATGAATTCACATTTTTCCGCAGTGATATGTATTTTGTAAAAAGAATTAGGAAACTTTGACAAAAGTAATTTATATTGCATATGTTAATTAATAAAACAACAAGACGTGAAAAAGAAGATAAGAACATGCAAAACATATCTGATCCTATATATTTTTATTTTCCTGTAAAAAAAGTGATGGCTTGCTGATCTGATCTGATTGACTGAATATAGTCACGTGAGTCATTATTATAAGTAAATTGACACTATATAATAGATCGAGGCATTTTACATCTAGTGATATTCTATTAATACAGTTATTTTACGAATAAGTGTAACAATTTGTAGGCATTAAAAAGACAATAACTCTCACATTCTCTCAACGGTCTATCTGTACAATAAGATGATACAGTATTTATAATAACATTACGATAACATTTATATGTAGAACATATAAATTTATTGAATATCTTTATTGCAAAGTTTAGCTTTGGATGAATATGATAATAATGAAGAGAATTATAAATCGATATTTTATATGAAATTTGTGAATTGATATAAGTGCATTCGACACCGTTAAAAAATTTTTTTTTTAATTAGAAATTTAATTTATAAATATAAACATTATGCGATGTATTTTACAATTTTAATTAGTTGCATACAGTATGGAAAAAAAAATATATAGCGTCATTGAACATTTAATGATTAAGACGATAAGTTATAAATAGCCATGATGCGAGAATCTTAATTTTCGCCTATTGTACTTTTTAAAAATTTAATTTAATTTATAATAGAACCCTTTGGAAAGATATGAGTACATAGGCTAGAATAATTAAGTAATATGCCATTTTTTAAATACAAATCATTAGTCGATTGATAATTACACGACTACAAAAGTAAGCATACCAAGTGAAAGTTGCATTACATTACTGAATGTCATTGAATACATGACACCAGCTGCTCGATAAAGATTTTAGCCTCTCCCCACTTTATAAGCAAGAATAAGATGGCCCGCGTAAACATACATACTTGTCATGCGTGTGTAGTTTAGTCTAATGTTTACTAAATCAAAAACGGGGAATAAATGGCAATCATGGATGATCGTCAACTGCCGGAAGATTTACTAGAATTTAACTTGGAAGATCTATTAAATCTAACGTTAGACCTTGATTCTTTAAATTCTATTGAAAAAATATCTCCTCAATGGTTAGATGAGCTGGCATCGTCGATAACCATTGACAATAATGAATTGTCAACAAGAAACGTGACGCAGAAAGATCGAACAGCTGATACATATACCGAAACCGTTGAAGGTAAGAAAACTAACTAACTAACTTTCTCCAACTATTTTTTATAATGAATTTTGTTTTATATTACATATTTGCAATAATTTCACGTATCATCGATTCATCGATTAATAAATTATCGACTTATTTGGAAATATGTATTTTTATATTGAGTTTATTCTATAATAACTTTGGCATCTATAAATTATAGTACGAATCGAATTACATTCTTTTTATCATTCCAAAGTGTGCTTTGTTAAATGTACTATTTTCATATACAAAATACAAATTCTCATAATCATTGGATTATTTATTAGGAAAAAATAAAAATCATAGCTAAGCTTCGAAAATTGAAAAATTATAAACTGAATGATCACAATTTTGATATTTTTTACAGTAAATGACCAACGGAATTCAGAGCGTATTGATCTTGAAAAGAGTCATAATTCTGATCAACCATTGAACCATGTAGAGATTATAGTATTGGGTGATACAGTTCAAGATAACGCACCTCTTTCTTCACCTATTATTGATCAGCAGACAGAAAATATTACCTCTGATTCACTTTGGAGTCTGTGGCATAATTGTTTTACGTATTCTTTTTCAAAATTATAATTTTTTTCTAATCTTATTAATCTAATCTGTCAAAAAAATACATAACTACAAACAATTTTTACGACATGAATTGAATTTGAATCAATACTTATGTATCGTTAAACTAATTATTAGCATGCTTATCATTAATGTGATTAGGATAATAAGACCTTTTTTAATTTTAATTCCAGTGCAAAATAGTGACTTGATAACGAAGACCACAGAACCTAGGATTTGTTTAAGTAAAAGCGAGTTATCTATACTGGAGCGTGAATTCCAAATATGCCATTATCCAGATCGATTTACTCGCAAAAAATTGGCATTGACGCTCAATTTATCGCGATTGACGGTAAGCGAGTGGTTTACAAATCGTCGAATCAAGATGAGAAAGCAGTCATCAGGAAATTTTTCGTCGTCAAATGAAAATACTGAAGAAAATGGTGAGATCAACAGAATTAGTTTCAGTAACAGCCAAGTTGCAATGCTTGAGCGTGAATTCGAAAAATCTCAGTATCCGGATTGTCTTACACGCCAAAAATTGTCATTAATGTTAGGTTTAAGAGATACCACTGTAAAGAACTGGTTCCATAACCGACGGGTCAAAATGAGAAAGTTGATGGATCATGCTCAATCGGTGGAGCAATCACTGCAGATTCAATCCAATACATTTTCGGCGTTGGAAACGTCTTTGGATATAAAATCAGATGTTAATAATAACGAACTAATCTCGAATGAAAACGTATTTAAAAATCAGCAGTCACAGTGTGACACAGTACGTCAATTAACGCCAACCTTCACTTTAACTGATGAACAAATGGAAAAACCACAAGCTGGATCTTCTGTCTTATTACCATCGACTGTATCGAATCAAGGTTTAGAGCAAAACACACTAAAAACGCTTGTACAGTTAGTGCAATCGTCAACGTACAATAATCAAGAAAACCAAGAATCGCAGATTGAAATTTCCAGTTTATCACCGTTGCCTAAATCTAATCAGAGTTTAAATAAAAAAACTCCAGAAAAGCTTGAAGAGTTACTTCCGTCTCAAACAGAAGCTTGCTCTCAAATTGAAAATAGCTTTTCACTGTCTAGTAGGCCTTCCAATCGAAGACGAAAAAGAACTAATTTTTGTAAAAGCCAACTTTCGATACTTGAACGTCAATTTATGAAATGTAAATATCCGGATTTCGAGACAATCTGTCAATTAGCATCAACAATTAATGTAGACGATAACAAAGTAAGAATTTGGTTCAAGAATCGACGTTCCAAACAAAAAGATTTAGAGAAAAATGGTCAGTTAACGGAATCACAAACTGAAACTATCAAGTTTCGACCACCGAGCAGCACTTCTATACAAAAATGCAAAAGAACTAATAATCGTAAAAGTCGACTTCATGTACTTGAACGCGAATTCAAAAAATGCCAATATCCGAATTTATTTAAAGTTTTTCAACTAGCTTCAAAAACCAACTTCACTAACAGTCAAGTAAGACGTTGGTTTATACATCGACGTGCAAAGCAAAAATTATTAGAAAAGCGTGGACAAAAAGTAGTTCAAGTACAAAAAAAAATGCCCGAACTATCGTTATTGACAGAATCTTTCGAACAAAATTGTCGGCCCAAAGGTACTACGTTAAATGCAAGCCAGCTTGCTGTACTCGAACGTGAATTTTCAACGTGTCACTATCCAGAAAGCTATACACGCGAAAAATTAGCATTAGCAATGAATTTAACGTTTTCACAAGTATCCAAATGGTTTGAGAATCGGCGTACAAAAGAACGTAAGCTACGGAGTTACAGTCAACCATCATCAGTAAGCACTGAAACTTGCGGACTTAGTCAAGAAACGGATTTCAATGAAAATCAACTTGCCATACTTGAGGATGAATTCAAAAGGTGTCAATATCCTGACGATGACTCGCTCATTTACATAGCATCAATAGTTAACATGCCATACACTAAAATAATTGAATGGTTCACTAATCGTCGTGCAAGAGAAAAAACTTCAGAAATGTCGCTATTGACTGGAACTTCTAGGCAACAATTCTGTGCTCGAAAAATTCAATTCAATAAAAGTCAGCTTGCTGTACTTGAGCATGCATTTGCAAGATATCAATACCTTGATTACGATACAACTTGTTCTTTATCAGCAATAATTAATGTGTCATATGAGAGAGTACGCACCTGGTTTACAAATCGACGCGCCAAACTGAGAAAAGTGAATAAGCATGGTCAGTTTTCACAGCCACAGATTGGAACTACCAATTTTCCAGCATCGACTGAATATTGTCAGATGGACGCACCATGTAAGCCCTTCCATCGAATATCAATATGTAACATTTACATTATTAAATTATGATAATGATATTTATTCTAAAATACAGTTATAAGAACACTCATCAAAATATTCAAAAATTTTTTTACAGTTCACGAAAAACAAATCCAACCATTTCAAAATTATCAACAACCTCCGATGGTTCGATCCGACTACTGTAATAACACATTATATAACAACGTTCAGCAGATGAGAGTTTTTCCTCAAAATTTGCGATTTGGATGGTATAACAGCGTATCCCCTGTATTTATTCCGCAGAGTTATAACGTGACAGCGTTTCCTCCAATTCAAGAGGATGCATTTTATATCAACCCTGCACCGCCTAGCGCGCAATACGTGTATTCGCATCCTTATGATGCACCCGTACCAAATCATTCGTTTTTAGCAGAACTTTAATTGTTGCAAAAATTTGATCTAAATCAAAGAATGTATTATATATTTTAGTTCTGAATCAAGCAAGTATTTATTGATTTTTTACCATCAAAATTTTTTTATATCACAATAAATACTTTGATCTTAACTAGTTTAAAATTTAAGATTAATCGTACTAATTGTTTACTACTGGTACAGGTATATTTAAGTAGCTCTTTATTTTTAATGCGTTTGCATATAGTCTTATTGAATATTGCAAAAATATTTTAGCTAATTACGTGCGTATGTATATATATGTATTGAACATTATCTGGAATATTCTTCATTATTTTAAAAATATATATTACAATTTTAGATTACTCGTGTTAATAAATCCTATATGAAGGCTCAAAAGGAAAACATTTTCATTGTTTTACAAAATCTATCTATTTATCACAAGATTAAAAAAATTTAAACGTAGAAATTAAGACCTTAATGCGATAATAAAATATCAACCGAATTGTTAAGCAACAAAGAACTTGACAATACATTGATTGAATTTATTCAACATTGAACGTTTTTTATTTATGTAAAAATATGAGTATATAAGGTTATATATTTAGAGATACGCGATGTTCGAAAGATAAGTTTTGTATTCTTAGCTGAATAAAAATATTTTATAAAAATGTGATGGTTTGATTTGATTTTTCATAATAACAAACATATTTTGAATGGTTCGTTTTTCGTAGCAGTCGACTTAAATACATTCATTTATAACTTCTGTACAGAGACTTATTCTATCTTTGATCCACCTTAGCCCAGCCAGTAGACTATCGAAATTAAGAAAAAGGAAAATATCAGTCAAAATATCTCTAACTACACCCTGTGAATATGTTATCAACTTAAATTGCACTCCACTAGTTTACTAAAAAAAATTAATAAATAGTGCATGTTTTACGAGATTTCAACAGCGATATCTTAATAAATAATCAATATTTTTATGAAGTAAATGATCGAAAAAACTGTACCTTCGCTAATCTTAATTGAGCCTATTTTACTTTTTAAAAATTATTAATACCAATAACAAATAATTGACAAAAGCTATTCTCCCTTTAAGGAGTGTCCACCTTCCATCTTCCTTCCTAACCCCGGAGTTATCGCCATCCGAGATTTAATATGCACACGCCATCTACATAACTTCGAGCTCAGTGGTAAGTTCCATAATGAATGCGAGATACGCATCTTAATCTATGAACTCGAAATTATAGAGATAGCGTTTGCATACAAAAACTCGGACGGGGTCGGCCTCGTTGTCGGAAAGAGTGTTCACAGAACGATTCTGACACTTAAAAAATGACATGAATTCTGACATATGACATGTGCGTAATACGTTGTTTTTAAGCTAAAAAATACTCGACATGTTTAAATTAGCGTCTTATAAACACAATAATAGCAATAAAATACATTTAACAACTTTCCGCAAAATCTTAGTCTTTAAATCATATATATGACACGAATAAAGCGGTTATCCATGTCATTCTGTGTAATTTGGAATCTGCGCTCACACAAAAATTATTAAAATATTTTATTATCATAATTGATCCTTAAGAATGCTACTGAGATGATTATTTAAACATTTCGAGGGTTTTTCAAGCTAAAATATCCTTTTATGTATATTTGTCATGTCAGAATTAGTGTCATTTTGATTGTGTCAGATTCCTTCTGTAAACAGCCTAAACAGTCAAAGGAAGAGGGATCCAGGTCCAAAAAGTAAGCACCCAGAATCCTTTTTTTTAAGCTAATCGATAAACTAATTATACCGTTAGATATTTCGTCAGGATAGCAACAACTTTTCTTTTTGTCGTTTGTTGGTTCGTCCACTGGAAATCCTTAAAATTAATAAAATAAGTCTTAGGTGCTGGCCTTAGCACCCAAACCAAAGTTGCGGTCAAACTTAGAAAATATTAAGTAAAAAAAATTCGAAAGTAAACCGATCGTTAGTTCGTCTTACGAACTAATAACACCCATAATAAAATCATGACTAATTTGATTATTTAAGCAACTAAAAATAAAAAACTGTTTCGAATATTGGCTCACGTTCAAACGCCAAAGCGCGGTACGCATGCTTCCTGAATTATCCCCGCCGATACGCGAACCCCCACTCTTATTTTTTACTACACCTGTTTGATTTTAATACATCAGATCAAATCAAACTTTATAGTAACATTAGTAAACATTAATAACTAGTACCTATTGTCCAATCAATGGGTAAATGGAATTTAAAAAGTACATACTTGAGTAATTAATACGCGAAGCGTAACTTTTTTAAATTCCATTTACCCATTGATTGGACAATAGGTACTAGTTACTAATGTTTACTAATGTTACTATAAAGTTTGATTTGATCTGATGTATTAAAATCAAAAAGGTGTAGTAAAAAATAAGAGCGGGGGTTCGCGTACCGGCGGGGATAATTCAGGAAGCATGCGTACCGCGCTTTGGCGTTTGAACGTGAGCCAATATTCGAAACAGTTTTTTATTTTTAGTTGCTTAAATAATCAAATTAGTCATGATTTTATTATGGGTGCTGTTAGTTCGTAAGACGAACTAACGATCGGTTTACTTACGAATTTTTTTTACTTAATATTTTCTAAGTTTGACCGCAACTTTGGTTTGGGTGCTAAGGCCAGCACCTAAGACTTATTTTATTAATTTTAAGGATTTCCAGTGGACGAACCAACAAACGACAAAAAGAAAAGTTGTTGCTATCCTGACGAAATATCTAACGTTATAATTAGTTTATCGATTAGCTTAAAAAAAAGGATTCTGGGTGCTAACTTTTTGGACCTGAGGGATCCCGTATGGACACTCCCTTAGGCCCTCGCCACATATGCGCATACGCGTACATACAACGGCGTACAAACGCGGACAAATCGCTAAAAATTTTGATAGTGTCAACAACAGAAAGTTGCTACTATTTCTCGCATGCCCTAACGAACACACACTACCGGAACAAACGTATCATAACGCTATATTATTGAAGGTTATGATACGTTTGTTCCGGGAGTGTGTGTTCGTTTGGGGCATGCGAGGAATAGTAGTAACTTTCTGTTGTTGACACTATCAAAATTTTTAGCGATTTGTACGCGTTTGTACGCCGTTGTACGCACGCGTATGCGCATATGTGGCGAGGGCCTTAGTAATGCAATAGTGATGCTCAAAACACATGCGCAAATTACTAAATTTAGGCGGGAAAAATAGACAACTTTGAATTTATGATAAATTCATAATTTATTAATTACATATAACCCCTATAAAAGCACAATAATACGAGTAAAAATTCATCGATTCTTATTTTCTTTCTCACTGCTTGAAAAATATTTTAAAAAAGTACAACAGTCTTAATATATATTTGTCATTGCTATGTGCTTATATCTCTGCGAAAACTTTTTTCTTTTAATCGAAAATGATACGTTAATCAAGATAGTGGTTCTTACTGATACTAATAAATAATTTTTCATTTTTCTTTAAAAGAAACAACAAAAAAGTATTTTCAAAATTTTCATTATAAGTAAATATTAAGTTATGCTATCTCAGCTATTAGTAGTAATGACCGTGCTATTCCACGTGTGTTTTTATTATCAATAGATTTATCAATAGATTAACTCACTATTTTAACTTGTCAAAGTTTATATAAATTTGTTTTAATAATTACTATGATACATACAAAATTAAAACATAGTAAGAAAAAATGAAAAATGTCAAGCCTCGGAGATCGAGTAACAATAAATTCATATAAGTTTCTTAAATAAAATATAGATTATTATTATTACAATAAAAATGTTCTGTTAATAAAATTCAAATACTTTGTGGAAACATTATTTTATTTCAGGTGAAAGTGAGTATTCTGCATTGCATAATACATTTATTATATGTTTAGTTTACAGAACAAATACTTAAAGCAAAAATATAAATGTCCAAGTCGATTTCTTTGCCGATTTCTTAGACACTATACCAAAAAAGTACGTATTTAGTAATATAAGTTCATACTTATTTTACAAATATTAGAAATTTGAAGTAATAAATTGGAATCAATTTTGACAGAAGGAAATACTAGTACAAGATTATGAGACAATTTGTTATGAGGAAATTAAAAATTTAAATATCAAATAATAATACTTGCACAAAATTGAAAGTATACTAGGGTTGATTTTTTCGATTTAATGAAGAAATAAGACATTTACTTCCCTAAATTTTTAAATTTAAACCGTTACAATCGCTGATGAGGAAAATGGGGCGTTATCCTGATAAAAAAGCGTTTATTTTATTGAAATGCGACCATTTTCTTGCAATTTCTGCTTGCTTTATCAGAATATTGATGCATAATACTTTCTTGTTATTGTTTTATCTTTTGGGAGATGAGCGATGAACATAATTATGCAACTATCCAATAAAACAGTTATCATTGGTTTCTCAGCCGATGAAACTTTCTTTGGCTTTTTCAGAGCAGGTATACCTTTTGTAATTCTCTATTTTATATTATTTCGTTTCAGAAGTATAAGGTAGATCCATGTTTCATATACAGTTATGAATCGACCCATTCGTAGTTAATAGTATAGTTGTTCAGAATTCCCAGTTCATCCTTCGTGCTCAGATCTTATGTCTCTATAAAAATTTCAAGCTTATGTCACGTCGCTGCTGCGATCCGCTTTTTTAGAACAGCATGTTCCAGTTGCTATTCTAGCCGTTGAACATCAATTTTATTTTTCCATGCGAGGAACGGCATTTTCTTTCTTTTTTTTTTTATTCACAAACACTCTCGATAAAATGGTAATTAATACTTTGCACGGAGAAAATAAAACAAAACAAACGTAACTAGAGCTCACGTAACTATACTATACCTCACCAAAGAATAATTTATTTACACTGACAAAGGTAGCATAGTACCACAATATTTACATAAACAATATGTACAAGTAATTTCAGTCATAGAGTCATGTTAAAATGTTTTTTTCTTATTTTAAATTTGACAGTCCATTATTTCTTTCGATATTATTTCATTCACGTCATCGAGAAAAGAATCGAAACGCTTTCGTAATTGACATAATTCTGGTTTGCATTTTGCTTTATTTGAAATTTGACTTTTACCGGTAGTTTGATATGTATTTTCATAAGTAGTATTGTATACATTACATGTATTTTTAATGGGTTGTAAATGATTAACAGCATTGATAATGGGTGGTTGAATATCGATGTGCTTAGTCACTAGTGTGTGAGGGAGTTGGTATTGATCGGCAATGGCCTCGATTTTCAAAATTTCGCTACATGCATTTTTTTGTGTTCTTTGCTCGACTGTCACTTTTCTTTTTCTCTAACATTATCGCAAATCGCCGTATAATAGTTGCTTTGTCTGGGTAGTTGAGTCGATGTATCATTAGTATCTGTTGTATATGTAATGTTACCACAAGGATTGTCCTCGATAAAGCCTTCCGATTTCAGCCATGTATTGAAACTCATGATTGTTTCGAAAGAGTCAAGATATTGATTATATATATACTGATTATATACTGATATATATGATTATATACTGATTATATACTGATATATATGATTATATACTGATTATATACTGATA